ATATAAAAACACTTCACTAGATAAAAATTTATATATAAATAAATAGGTAACGAATGAGTAAAAAGTATTAGTTTCGTTAAAAATAGTTAGCAATAGAAAAAAAAATTGTAATGACGAAATTACCTAATATGGGAGTAAACAATGTCAATAGCAGAAGAAATATAGGTAATTAAAATCAGATCAAAATTGCTGAAGATATCAAGTACTTAATATACAAACAAAATATAAGCGACTTGCGAACTTTTACTTTTTGGAGTCATAAAAATACCGTGAAAGCCTTAAAGTAGTTTGCAACGCTTATTTCACATTAAATATATCTCAGTTTTAACATCTCGAATATATATAATATAGCCCATGTATTATTATATTATATGGCCAACAGGTATATTAAATTTCACTCAAATCCTTTCAGCTATTTAAACGTAATTCAATAACAAACACCCAAACTTTCACATACTTATAATTAGTGATGCGATGACATGTTATAAAATGATACTTGACAATGAAATCTCCTTGGTCTCATTAAGCTGCCCTTTATCATATTAAAGTGGGAGGTAGTAAACGAAGGTTGTCATCTAACACCTATACTAGTACCATATAATTTATTTATAAATATATAAATATGTTTTGTAGAAAAATAAAACTTTTTCTCATTTTAGTATGTGAAATTAAATGTTACACTAAGTGCCAACAATTAACACTACGAATATGTATCTATATAAATAAAAATTAAATATTGGTTGTCAATAAACGCATCGATTGAACGTATGCGATTTTTATGAAGATAATGATTGTGTCCCACAAAAAAAAACTAGCTTCAACTGAGACAAAACCAGTTATTTTGACCTAAAGACTAAACTACTGAACCGATTTTGGTAAAAATTCTATAGGACTATATCATTTCAGGTAAAGAAAAGAATTTTCTAAACCAGCTTAGAACTCATGGAGATATGAGGTAATAAACATAAAAAAACCGAATGGAGAAAATTCTTCGTTTTGAAATCGGTTGAAAAAAGGCAACGCCGATAGGGTTATTATAACTGTAGTAGTTTTATTAAAAAAAATCATATATAGTTTTTCGTATTGTTACAAAAATTTTAATCACTTTTAAACATTTCATAATACACTGATGATACTTACATACATACATCACGGCTATCTATAAATTACTTATAATATATTTGACATGGATATCGATCCACTATTTTTTTAAAAGAGCCTAACCTCCAAACGTAGAAAAAAAATAATTCGTACAGTTCTGTACCGTAAAACTGAAAGTTTGAAAACTTCTAAAACAAAATATTATACGAACAAAATATGCATACAAAAGATTTTGCTGCGTATTTTGTTTAAATTTTTTACCATAATAACATTTTAGTTCTTATGAATTCAGAACATTCAATTTTTAAATTAATATTCAGAATTATACAAAATTATTGAATTGATTTCAGAAATTTGACGAACAATTTAATTATGACGGCATTTTTGTAAAAAAATATAACTTTTAAACGGAATATTTGTCCCTCTGTGAAAGTCGTGCTATAAACATGCAATAGACTCCATTAATATTGGATATGGTACATTATTTATATATAAATAATAATTATTTATTTGAACCGCTCGTTACCCCACTTCACCAACACGTTTGGTTATTTTAGATATAGGGACAAAGAAAGGTTTTATGGTCAATCGATTTCAAAAAACTTCTAAATAGACTATTTTTTATATGTATATATGAATACATTTCAATTCTAAACCGATTATTTTTTAAACCAATTATTTTTTATTCCAACGTTAAATCGAACCTATTCTCATGCTGACTCTATATTAATTTGGTCCAAATTTGTAACGTTTCTCTTTTGTGTTATCTATTTTTTTTTTTATTAACATTATAAAATCTTTTAAAAAACTATCGTTTTTAACAATCTCAATACATTATCGATACTTTGAATAAATTTAGAATTTTTTACGGAGTTTTCCTCATTTAATATATTTGTAACCTCCTACCTAACAAGTCCATTATCTTAAATTAATTATAAACATATTAAATAATCCTTAGCTATAAAATCGGTGTTAGCAGTATGAATATATTTTAATGTACCAGCGCCCTCTACAAAAACATCCAAGTAATGTTTTTATCATTCTGGTGACATTAAAACATGTTTGATAATATATCGTTTCATAATATAATTGGCGACTTATAATTGCTTAAGTGCCTGCTTTCGAGAACTCTTTATCAATTATTCTGTGTACTTGCAATTATTATTTTATTTATTAAAACTTTAATACGCATACGTAATAACACATTTGGTGAACGTAAATAGGTAAAAGTACAATTATATATATAATTTTCTTGAACATAGGTGGAGAAATAGGAAATAATTGACAATATTTAATTACAATGTATAGACAGACATTCCATTAGACATTTGTGTGCGAGTTACAATACGCATGGTGACGTTACTTGCACACAAAAATAGAAAACACGATGGTGGGGAAATGAATAGAAAATCACGTACGTGATATACGACCGTGTAGATTAATGAACATTTGGTTGTTTACTTATAAATGTGCTATAATGTTAAAAAAATTGGTAATCACGTAGGCACGTAAAGTTTATACCTAATTATTTTTCTCTACCTTAGTACACCTAAGACGTAGGATTTACAAAATTATTTCAAAAAAAATAATCAAGACTGAAATAACTTTGGCATTTAAACTAATATTCAAGACAGTTATAAGAGACCGTTCTTGACCTTTTTAATCAAAAGGTCACAATCATTTTTATCATTAGCCCAATATAATATGATTTGTCCGTTTTGGATCTAACTTTAATAAAAGTTAATTTTAGAAATGTACTAAATAATTATTTTATTTTATAACAGCAAATGATCTCACAATATCAGCGATTTTATCTGATTGGCATTAGTTATTTTGCACTTCTATTATTTTATAAGAAAATATTGTGTATAATATTGTCTTTAGATTCATTGTTTCACTTGTAAGTTGATTTATCAGTCAATAGATTTCTGTTTTTATATACATATACATATTATAAAGTCCATATAATTAATTACATGTAATTACACAGCAGTAGCTATTTATTCTGTTTATTATATATTAATTTATATCTTTCATATTTTAAATGTTGATTATTTATAAAAAAAAATATACTCAAAAGTTCATTTGTTTATAGAGTCAAGGACCAAGGTCAATCTTTATGAGACGTGTTATTAGAACTTATCAGGTGCGAAGAGATTTTACAGTATCCATGTTTACATTTATAAGCTTTGGAGACCTTCGTTGAGCACGATATCACTTAGTTTATGGGGTGAGATAAAGGTCTTGTTGACTATTCTAAAGATAGGACTGAAAATGCACCGACATGCATAGGCGATAAGTAGAATGTGAGCTTTCGTGACTTTATATAAGAGTTGAGTAAATTCAGAAAGTTAGATCCAGTGACAGTTTATGGTGCTATGTTTTATAACCTTTATAAATAGTACAAATCTAGTGAACATTTTGTTAAAACCCGAAGAGATTTTTTATCGACAAGTTTTATACAAACTTTCACGCGCTATTTCATACAGGAGATGAATTTACAAAACTGTGCAAGAAAAGAAATTTTATGTCTGCCAGTGTTAAGACACTTTAGTTGACAATATACTCGTATGTAGTTTTCTATATATTATTTTTTGAGTTTCTGTATTACAAACAAAAAATCAAATCTTTCCTCATTATAATATCAGGTTACATAAATAATATATTAAATCCTTTTTCTTTCTTAATGTTATTACAGCTATCCCACTCGTACTTGTGGTAAAACACCGTAAGATAAACTATTGCAGTGATAATAACTAATGCCTGCAACTTGTTTCATGATTGTGATGTCGTCACACGGTGTCACCACAGTCGATTGCGCAGATTTGCACAACATTATTTTTGTTGAAAATGTAACTGTAATTTTCTGTATGGTGATTAAAATTGCTGAAATTTTGTGAAATTTTAAATTTATCAAAGAAGACTAAATTCTTGAAAATATTTTTTTTAGTTTTCTTAAAAGAAATATCTTTGCACGAGTTCTCTATTATCTAGGTCTAGTATTTTATAATTGTGTACGTTATTTATCTTTATGATACTTATAATGTTGTTACTAAAACTAATTAATCTTGTTGTAATAATATCATTCTATGAATCTTACTGTTATTTCAAATCCGGCATACTTACTTAGAGAACGTATGTTTTAATTATTTTACTCTATTAATCAACCAGTTATTGATTCCGAAAATTAATCAACTATAAATGAAGACGATCTAAATACTTATCTGCTTATTGACTTCTTATTACCTACAGAGTTGACCAGTTAGTAACGTTTTCCCCTAATTCAAATTTGATTTGAGAATCATTCAAAATTTTTAAATGGCTACTTTATAACAAATAAATAAAGCTTGAATTGGCATATTGATATTCATATCATGTATACAAAAAGAAGCCCAATACAGGAGCGCCGTACGCAAGATGAGTCAGAGACCTTTTCACCCGAGGACATTGTTTATTCTGAACGCAAACCTGATCCTGCACTGTTTTCTTTAGTATTAGCGTTTTTGGTCATTTATGACATAAACTTTTCATTTAAATATTTTGTGCAACTATTTACTTATAAATCGTAAATATATTATAAACCGTTTTCTACAACTATTTCAGTCCTCAAAATCATTTTTAAGAAAAATCATTAAGAGTTGCGTGTTTAAATGCTTCCACGTTCATTCGAGTCAATCAACTTAATAGCGAAACACTTGGTGTTATCCAAATGAGATTCTCTTTTATAACTTTTACTTATTTATATTGAATTTATAACTCATCATGATCTTGCGAAATGTTCTTTCACATTATAGCTACTGGCAAGTTTCTGATAAAGAACCGAATTGGAATTATATTAAAGCTTTCTCCGCTACCGCTAAAGTTATACAATAAGCATAACTGTAAACATCCGCTCTTACCTTTGCTTAGGCAAGTCCGTTAATATTCCGGTACACTGCTTTAAAGAAACACTAACACTTTGATTTTAGCGAGTCGATCGACCGTCGGATCCCCGCACCGTTATTCACGTCATATGTGTGTCAAATAACGAGAAAAATTCTCACAATCTCCGTCAGCACTCACTAGAAATCTCTCGCTTGAACAGTCGAACACAACACTGCACAGTTTTTAGTTATTTCACATCACATCACTAGAATTTTGAATTTGGAACGGTGCAGGAGCGATGCACTTGGCGCGTGTTGCGCGCGCGGCGAATTGTTTCGGTCGCGTCGGCGTCGCGTCGCCGGCGGCTGTGTGTGGCGCGGCGCAAGCGTGTACGCTCACCTCTCTCTCGTCTAAGCGACTGGCGCGCTGCCTTCACCTTCGCCGCGCGGCCTGCCCGTTTCGCAACCTCAGCTCAGCGGTTTCCTTGCAACCAACAAGTTGCATGGCAACAGTTTTTTTTTATATCTACTAACACATTAAATACAAATCATCTATTAAAAAGTTCTGTAACCTCCTCTGAAATTACTTTGGTGTATCTAAACTTAGATTGTTATTAACGACCCTGGTTATATAGCTCTATATTCGTATGACCTCCATAAATAGCTGTCACGCAACTGTATCTTTGAATATCTGTTCGTTATTTTTCTTTCAATATAAAGGAATGTCGAGTGTATTTTATTAATTTATGAAAATATAAATAGTAACCTCATCCGCACTATCGGTATACACTAGCAATGTACCAGTAAGTAATGATAGGTGAGAATGAAGCAGGTCAACTGGCCCATCGTGACAAAAACAACAATTTATTAACGATGCTTTCCAGAGGAATCGCGTAGAAGACAATTTCATAAGGTAAGGATATTTCTGGCAACGGCTATCCCGTTGACTCCATAATTAACGATCTCTTTCCCCCCGAATGTCAAATGTTTTACCATCGCAATTAACCGTTGAGGCTTTCCAATAACTTTCATCTATAAAACATTAAAGTAAAACATACAATATTTATGGTAAAACCACAACACGTATCGATAGCTGACGGAAGTCTACTAACCCGATGACGGGACATGGTTTTACAAACATTTTACTCATAAACATTTTATAGCGTCAATGTACGTTTATAGACAACTGCCATCCGTCAATTTCAACATGCTAATAAAATCAACTGGACATAAGCAAACAGGTTGACTATACGTTACCGCAAATATATGCAAAATAAATACTTTTTTTACATTTGGTATAAACTGAACTGATAATCGAAGCATGCATAAATATTTTCAGCGACATCCGAGTGGTCAAAGTATATTATAATATCATTATACTTACTAGCATATTCTTCAAATAAATGCAACATATTTCATAGTTTATGAGGTCACAATCAATCTAATTTTGTTTAGAATCTAACAGGAAACATACACTAACCAACAGGATTAGTAATGCAAGAATATGATTTTACCAATAATATTAAAATGCCTGACTATAAAAATCTTAACACAAAGTGTTAACATTTTGACGACTCAAATATATTTTCATAGATTATCATCATATTAGTTAGATACTGTCCACTGCTGAATATAAGCCTCCCCCATAAGTAGGGCTTTGCTCGTAGTTGCCATGCTTAGCAGTTGAGTTGGCAACCGCAGTTACGATTTGGTGTTGTTTAAAGAGGGACGCTGCTGCCCATCCCCAGACCATTATGTTCCCTTAGTCGTCTCTTACGACACTCACGAAAAATGAAGAGGTAGTCTATTCTATGACTGGGCTAGAATTTTGAGTAAATATAAAATAAATATATTCACGACTATAATCCCTAGTAAACAACTGACTAAACCCTCTGCCATGTTGGATTATAAAATACTTTATTAAATGTGCGCACGTCAAGTATAACGTTCATAGCTTTTACTTGCATATATATATTTGCATTTGTTACATTAATCACATGAGTAGGTATCAGTATGTTGAAACCTTGATAAAGTAGTTCGATATATCAAACGAAATATTCAAACGCGATAATAAATGTCTATAATTTTCGATCACTGTGACACACTGAACTAGTTCAAGCGTTGATATCTTTTGTAAGAAACTCTAAGTCATTCAGTTTCAAAAATGACGATGTGCTTTAAATGACAAATAATTCACTTAAATTACTTTCGAAAGATTTTTTTTTAACTTATTGATCAATTTCGTCGTAATAAATTATTGTAATACATTTATGCCAAGTTTTTTTGAAATATAATTAAAAAAAAATTAACAGAATAATGACGGTATGTAGAGTAATGTCGTAGGTGCACAGTGCAAGAAAAACTATAAAAAAAGTATAAGTTGTTAAAATTAAACGAAAAAATACAGTATAAAAAATATTTTAATATAATAATTGTAAAAATCATAATTTAAGATTACAACAAAATTTATAAAAAAAAATATAAAGAAATAAACCCAGTCCAATGCAAGAGAATCCTCAAAATTGGTTCAGAAAAATATACAAGCCACACGTCGAGAACAGCCTTCTCTTCCTGATTCTTATAAACAACGGTATATATATATATATATATATAATGTACAAATCTGAGTGTCTTCCATTTGTTATAACATATCTTATGCATTTATATAAATGCACTTATGCTCACGCCGTTAAGGTTATTATGTAAAATGCTTATTTAAATCCCATTTCTGTCTACCACTAATAATTTGGTATGCGGCATACTGACGCGTAACATCCGCCCATTAAAGCCATAGTGAAACATAGCAGTCAGCTGTTCAATTTAGTACTGTATCACTAGAAAGTGTGAATTCTTAATTTTTTATTTCACGTTGTTTTTCTATCAGTAAGTATTAAAATCGTTATCGTAACAAAATAACCTTAATATTCGTTGGACTCTGTTATTTTAGTATAAAAGGTGGACAAATTATTAAGTAAGGATCTACCTAATAATAATAATAAGAAAATACGTACCTATCGTGATACAATTTCAATGACTAGATAATATTGTAACAGATCCTTAGACTATTTCGAAAGTGAAAAAAGTGTTGTCCTCCTTTTTTCTATTTGCTGTGCCCAACAGGGTCAATAATTAAAATGTTATGTACTAATTATATTATGGAATGCAATAATAAATAAATAAATAAATAAATAAATAAATACCTCGAGGTTGCCACTCAAGAACACGTTTTCTTCATTGGATGTCCATTAATTTAGTTATATGTAACTACTGGAAATGAAAGGGTGATTATTAATGATGGAGATTAATATTTTTATTGCTAGCTATAGCTAGTAATGTGAGCATGTTGACAAAGATTTTTTTTAATAGGTGATAATGGAATGGTAACTCCACCCGCGCTATTCGTGTACACCGAAGGGACACCAGTGAAGGATGATAGATGAGAATGAAGCATTTCAGTTAGCCCATCGTGACGAATTCAACAAGAATTGTTCACAATGGTTTCTAGGGGAAACCACGTGGAGATCGACCTAATAGGGCATATTGCTAGCAAGGGGCCGGTCAAACTCCATTTCTAACAATCCCTTTACCCTCTGTTGATAAAGATTTAATGACCTTGACAGATTAACCTCCACATAATCCTCCCTGGAAACTATCGTGGTTAGTTCCTGGTGAATTTATCACAATAGTTCAACTGACCTGACTTCATCTTATCATCATACATTGGTATCCTGCCAGCGTACACCGATAGCACAGGCGAGAGGTTGCCATTCCATTTTCAACCTATTAAAACTGGGGGAAAGGGATTGTTACTAATAGAGACTGAGAATTCCATTGCTAGTAATATAGCCAACCAGGTTGACCTCCTTACGGTTCTCCCTGGAAACTATCATGGTTAATTTCTGATGAATTCATCATGATGGGCTAACTGGCCTGTTTTTATTCTCCTCTATCACCCTTCACTGGTACTGCGCCAGTATGTATATATATATATATATATATATATATATATATATATATATATATATATATATATATATATATATATATATATATATATATATATATATATATATATATATATATATATTGTATATGATTTATTGAATATAGAGTATTAAACTGTAGCAAGTTAAACTACTGTACATGTAAGTTTTATTACCACCATAACATGCAAAATCAACCCATTTCAAATGAGATACATTAATGTAAGTATCGAGTAGGCGATAATAAATGTTTTCAGATGTTGTAATATTATACATAGATAACAATATTATATCATTGCATTAAAATACTCTAGGTATAAAAAAAAAAACCATTCCCTTCTATTGGTGTACAAATGAAAACTACTAAAAATTTAATTTGACTTTTATAATTAGAAATAAATTGGATTATTGAAATATATATTTACATATTCATCTATAATATCATCACGTAAATTCTGCAGTAGTTAGTCTACTAAATAATTTCAATAAATTTTATTGGCTACTATCGCTCATAAACACTGGTAACACAAACTTGAATAGTCTTATATTAATTATTATGAATTAATGTGTATGTTAATAATTCGAAAGTTTAAAATGGGCCCATATTGTATCGCAAGGGGAACGCTTCGGAGGGGTGCTCATTATAATCACAATATTCCCAAGTATCTTCTCCTTATGATATGGCTGTCAATTGATGCAAAAATATCATCGAAACAAATTTAAAGATAAGTGTTTACGCAACAAAAACTTTACGTGCAAGCAAAGAAAGTGTTACATGAGTAGTTCTTTAATAATACATCGCAATCGTTGTCAATCCATGAAAGCTGACGCAGATGCATTGCGAAGGTACCGCGCCATTCAACATCAATTAGTTCGTAACTTTCTCTCGCGGCTTAAAACTTTATTGAACGTGATTTTCGAGTAGTAATGAGTGTTAAAACATGGTACCTACTGTGCACGTTGAGTAAGAATAAATATACATATTATTAAAAAATAACGTACATCATTTGTACATTATGATGACGTGTGGAAACTTCGTGTAATTTGTCTGAACGTCAATCAACGTGTGTTGCAAATTTTGTTTATATAAAACTTATTCTTACCTGCAACTCCGTTTGTATGAACGAGATATATTGTCGACTAGAGTAAAAAGTTGCCTGTTAGATAGAGATCTCACAAATCATAAGCCAAATTTCCCAATAATTGGTTAATTCATTAGAATATAAAGATGTGACAAACACATTGTGACATTTTTAATATTAATAACGACTATTCCTATTTTCAGCATTCATAATAAAATAACTGAACTTTTTTCAAAGTAATAACATAAATACTTAACGTAATTCACTATTTGAATTATGTGAAATTTCATTATAAAAATAATAGAATTTTCATCGTGCCTCCGATCAAACTGTTTATAATTACTC